TTATGCTTTATATGGAATTTTTATTAGACGAACATTATTTGTATATATATATATATATATATATATATATATATATATATATATATATATATATATATATATATATATATATATATATATNCTGAAAAAAGGCGAGAAATCTATAAATATCACTTGTATAACTTGTACGCTAAATTTGATTTAGTTGGATTAATTCGAATAATTAATTCAGAGCAATTATTGCTTAATATATAACTCGAATAGTTTAAAGATATTTTATGAATTTGTTACGAGAATTAACTTTCTAACGCACATAGATATGTCACGATACTATGTCGTGAAACATAGAAACTTATTTTCAGATGTTTTATTAGACATATCAAATAAGTAAATGAATGAAAACGTGCTGATAAATAAATTATTTTTAACAAATCATTGCAAGTAAAATATATCTCGTTGTTGATACTCAATTGAAAGAGATGATCGTCTATATGGGCATTTGATAAACTACAACAGGTTTACCCTTCACCATGACAATGCTTAACCGCACCTTATATTGCTAAGAGAAAAGAAAGTAACCTTGAAGGAGAAGTTTCATCTAGATATTTCATCGACATATTTTCATCTATATATTTATATTTTACACGCACTGAAAAGAACTTTGGAACATTTAGAAAAAATGTAGTAGAATAAATTAATTTTATGATAGACTTAAAGTTTCACAAAATTATATATAAATTATATAGAATTACGATTAATATGTGTGAGAAATAATGTAATATAAATTAATATTTTCATGAAATTTTTTATTACTTCAATGAAAAGAAAAAAATTCTATACGACGAAACATATTATTTTATTTCTGTTGGTAAATAAGTAATTTTTAAAAGGAAATTTCTGATCATTCGAGATTTACTTGAAACTCAGTCAAGCTACTGGTATCCTCCTAGTAACATCTAGTTGATACAAAGAGCACGTTAAACACGTACCGGGTTTGCTCTATTATCCCGATAATGAGAGTCATAAAGTTGATCCGAACAAATTACAGCCAGTGTATGCAATTTAAGTTACCATTATAATTTAATATGCGTAACGCTCTGATAATGTGTAACTATTTATGCATATACATATACGTATAAAGTATAATACGTGTACAACGTGAATATGTAATAAAGTATGTAAAATGACAAACTTTTTTTCCAACGTGTTTGATTAATATCATAAATTAGTAAGAATGAAACGATAGTATCTATTTAATAATTAGAATTTCCAGAAATTTTAATCGTTATTGTTAAGCATCTGTTTCCTTAAGGCGAATATCAATAATATTTTCAATTAAGAATGTTTGCTCGAGCCACAGGAAATGTATTACTGGAGTATGAATACAAAAATTAAAAATACAATAAAGACTTCCACCATTTAAGTTTTCAAAAAACGAATAATTATTATTAAACCATGAACTTTTTTCATATTTGTGGATACAACTGAAGAAATGAAATCTACTCAGAGATTTATTATATTTAATACACATTAAATATCGGACTTCGAAGTTTTTCTGTGTTTGTATTTATTCGACCTAACCATCTTTCAGAAAGTTCCTTTTATAAATCTCGAGTCTTCTCTCAGATTTCGATAATTTTCAATCTACTAAAAATGGTGCAGCCTAATAAATAATATAAACTCCTCTTCGAACTTCATGAAATTTTGGAAATTATATCCAGAAATTATATCTGTAACAGAAAAAAAGTACGATGGACGTTCGAAACTTCCGCTTCAAAGGGCCGAGAAACAGAGAGATCTAGTACCGTTCACGCAAATTTGTTATATTTAAATAAATTATAGCGATCTTCGCGCACGTTATTCGCAAATAACGCCGGTGCACGCGAATGTCGGAGCTAGCTTGACAAAGAGTGACCCTTCGTTTTTCGAAGAAACGAATTAAAAAGAATCGATCGCGTGTGCGAAAGGAGTCGAAGAATGTTCAAGTCGTTCCTATAATAACGGGTGTGATATTTAAGGCTGTGGAGCTTGCGTTTATTGTTAGCAATAGGTTCAGCGCGCGATTCTTAACATAGAAAAACATTGTTCGCGGAACATCTCAAATTCCGTGGACGAATCGAAACAGGTGGATCGTTTTGTTTAATTGATGTACGGGATTTTCGAGAAATTACACATCGTTGTAGGGTAACACAACACACGTGATGAATTACATACCGGAAAAGAAATCCGGGTCTGAACACTAGCGAGCGCTAACGCGGAGTCAAGTGAAGTATTAACGGAAAATTATGCTTTATTAGTGCAAATGAGTTTATTAAGAAGGACTTAGAAGTGAAGGAAAAGAAATAAAACGAGAATAAATAGACGATTGTGAAAGGGTGATAAGGTGATAAGAGTTCATTCAGTGGTTGGAAGATATTAAAGTTTTAATTTAATTGACGATTCACTGTGAGTCCATTCCAGTATATAATAACTTCTATCTTAAATGAACGAGCATTTAATGGTAATTTTGTACAAGTAATGAACAAAGTTATATTACGTTAAAATTGATGTTACTTGTAGTTTGAAATACTTATATTATTATAATATAGATATTTGCATTTTAGATAAATGCAATATAATATTCTTATATAATTATACTGTTCGATACAGACCATAATTATAATTTATAGTCTGTGCGTTTATTTTAATCTACAATTCACACTACGCTGAATAATTCATTCCAATTGTAGTCTCTTGTGCAATCTTAATAAAATACTGTCTAATAATTAAATTATATATTAATTAATAAAATTCTTCTTTACTTGACTTATCTGCAAATTGTTATAAACATATTTACTTCCAATTTCGTCTTTTTTTCAATTCATATTTCGTATAAATATTCTGTGATAAATTTATTATTTTAAGAGAATGTGTTGTAAAATTAACACATGAACGAATTCATTTTTTATATAGTTTACGTTAAAATTCTATTTTAATTATTATTTCATTATTTCTATTTTTCATACACTTATACAAAATATTTCCATGTTATTTAATAAGTGTCCTAACTATATTTTAAATTTTAGCACAGCTTGTACAGCGTCGTTCTGGTTCCTTTAGCGATCTTCTCCTTTCACAGCATGTAACAAATAAATAAAATTAAAAAAAAGGCAGACATGCCCAACGGATGGCAAAATGATTTCAATCTCTCCAATCGTCTGCTCAGTTTCAAACCGCTATACATCTGCTATAGTAAACCGGACTTTTGCATCGTAATTGTCGACCATGCAAGACAAATGGGTCATTTTTGTCAACAATAAAATATTAATAATTATCTGTAGAATATATATTTTTAAAGATTTGAATAATATAAAGATTTATCTTTCTTTTTTATTTCCTTTATATTTTAATTTTTCGTTCATCAAGACGATTTCAATCTCCACGAAAGGATTTCATTACAAGAACATGAATAAACAAAGACACATGATTAATAATTATACGCTGAATACACTGGGTTTGTCTGCATGCTGCGGATTTTGTTATTCCTTTTTTTTTTTTTTCTCCTTTTTATCGAACATCATGGCCCACAATGTCCCCGTAGCGTGCACGTACTTAAAATTCGACTGTGCCTCGTTCGTCCCTTTTCTCGATCTATCGAAACACGATCGTAAAAGCTCCCATACATAACGTTTCGTTTATGGATCGTCGGATTGATTGATACGAGTAGATAAATCGCGATAAAGCGGACGTTGTATGGCTCTTTGGCTATTATCTCTCTCTCTCTCTCTCTCTTTGTTTTTCTCTCTTTTGGTCGCGTTTCATTCCTTCGCCACGCCATTCCGTACAGTCATCGTTCCGGTCACTTTTACGCGATAACTTACAAGCTGTAAAAATGAAAGTGTCACCGGCTATGTTGTAAAATCGTCGTTATGCTCGTCCACTCGTGCACGCCGTCGTTTACATCCACCTAAAAACAGAACGAGGAAGGGGAGGGATGGATGGAAAAGATGGATGATGAAAAGTCGTCGATAACACGCTTTGAAATTGACGCCCGGCTGTCGTGTTACAGCCGGCAATTATAATTTCCCCTTCCGGGAATGATTTGATACATAATGAGGAATGTTGCTCGTCGGCTTTTTCTTTCGGGTTTCACGCTAGAATCGTGAACACGTTTCATGATTCATGCAACTTTATTCTCCTTATACTTGTTCGTCCTCCTTAGCTGAGACATCATGTCGAATACCGTTTAGAATCATCCGGGAAAGCTGGAGTTTTATCTTTGCTCTCTCTCTCTCTCTCTTTCAATCTTCTTTTCTTAATGATTGTTCTGTCGTTTTCCGGTTTCTTCGTCCGATGTAAGTTCTACAATTTAATGTCGCGTGTAATTTGAAAGTTACACGCCCGTGTATTCACATTTGATTCACAAGATTTGATTCTATATAATAATTATATCAATGTGTATACACAATTAATTAATAATTCTTTTCTCTTATAAATAAACGAAATTCTAATGGTAGAGGGTCGTAGAATTGTTTGGTTTAACAGTTTTGTCGAAATATTATGTAACATAAAATTTCGTTCTATACTTCTTATAATAAATATTATCGTAATATCATTGTAATTCTGTTTGATGTTCATGGATGTGCTTAGTGCATATAATTCTTCTTTTTTTTTTTTTTTTTTTGAATCTTGAAAACAGTTTATAACTTTTAGCTCTTATCTGGACTAATAAAATTTTAATAATTAAAGAAATGATATTTCGTTACATTTTGTTAAAATAAACTCTCCTTGCAATCGTGTGAAACCATTATCTTTTTGTCTCTCCACAATAAATAACGAAATTGCTGTTAATAGAAGGCAATTATTATCACATTAACTACATTGACGGTATACATCATTAACCCTTTCGCTACAGGAATAATTGTATAGCTGTTCGAGAGGTGCATGCTTGAACATGAACTCTTCGTATACACACGCGACGAAACATTGGCGAACCATCGGCTAAAGTTTATTTAATTTATTTTAAAAAAAAAAAGGATACGTGACTTTCCTCGTAAAATTTTATTTATAATTACATGCTACTTACAAAGATAACCATTTGCAGTCGGCGTATTAAAAATAAGTGTTACAAATCATGAAACATGGCGAATCCTATCGATTAACTACGATCGTGAACATAGTAACGAACGCATAGCGACGAATGATTATAGTCATCGATAGTAACGAAAGGGTTGCAAACCAACACGATTTTTTTTCCTTCGACGTATGAAATATTAAACACTGGTAAAGTATCGAAATACTATAAGAATATATAGATTGTAACTCTCGAAATCTGTGAGATATCGCAGCAGAACATTTTCCCCCTCAAACGACAGTAAATTATTGTTAACGTATTATCGCAATGCAGTATTGGTAAATAGCACATAAACAATTCATATTAGCGTAATACTACGATATAATGCTACACGTTAAATCGAATTGAATTAATCGTTAATTGGATTAATACCGCCTCGATATTCTTACAATAATGCAGTATTAATCAACGATAGTCTTCCTAATATGTGATTGTAGTACCATTCATCGTGCATATCGATGTAAAAAATAAAGAACGTGTCGCCTCAAAAAAATGAGTTTTACATTATCCCCTTGTTTATCTGTTTATAAAAGAAAAGGAAAGTAATTATTGTGAAACATTGTCTTAACAAGCAATGTTAAGAATATAAATTTTTATAAACAGAAATAATATTTATATTACGATCAATTTATGTACATAAATACTTTGTGCAAATTACCAATACTTCTCCTAAAAAATTTAGATTTACAATTATATCGAAATTTCTATAATGACTACATTTAAACGCAAAGATCAGTCTGTCTGTTCATTTATATAAAACGAAAGAAAGGGATAATATATTTCAAATGACTATCCTTGAAGTTTCAATGTCCAGAGATTGATGTTTGTAGTCGATGTTTCCAAGTATACTTCAGACAGAGATATCGACACTAACACAATACCAATATCTAATTCCATGTTTTTCAAAATTATTGAATCTTGCATCTTTGTCGAACTTAAGTTCAAGGCAAATTTCAAATTTAAAAATATCGAAGAATTCGATCTGAAAGTATAATATGGAAATATCAGGTGTTCAGAAAGGAGTTCTTTTTATTTTTAATTTCGTTATTTTGAATTAGAATTTTCCTAGTCAGTTTCCAAGACTCAAGTTATTGGCTTCGTAACTTTTCTGATAAATACTTTGAGTCGATATTTCGACTTCTCATAATGAAATTCTAAAATTATGAAATTATAAAAATTAAGTTTTATACTGGAGTATGTTTCTACCCAAAAGTAATACATTTTATCATGATTTTTTATCCTTACGAAAATGCTTCGTAGGTTTAGATTCCAGCTAAAAAAAATTTAGAGCATGTTAAAATTTCAATATTCGTAATATTCATAATATTATTTTTTTATACTGCTGAAATTTTAATCAATCCTCTGTTAAAACTGTTATCATTGAAGATCATAAAAATTTTAGGAACAAATTCTGAAATGTTTTATTGAATTGAATACTATTACTAATTTCTGTTCAGAAGAAAATGTAATTCAAAATAAAATTAAATATCGCATCAATAACTCAACTTAAATTTCTATAATCATCTATATCCCCAGTAATACTACTTGAGGATTAATTATAATATTCTTGTTCCGCAGAAGAATGTACGAAGTTGTGTTATCCAAAAAGTGAAGAATGCTCTAAAATTTTTGAACAGGAACGTAGAAGTATAGTACTAAGATCATTTCCATCGCAATTTATTAAAAACTGAAAATAGAAGAAATATAGGATTACAAATAGAATTAAGTTTGTCCAAAGTGTAGGAATTAGAGCGTATCCAAATTTGGATGAACCTTGCGAAATAAAGTTCGTCTCGGATGCACTCGCTGTGTTTCGAGCGGAAAATTTGTGCGGCCATTACAATTTGGACTCGCGTTCCAAGAGAGAAAATAGTCCAGACTAGCGCGCACAGCGACAGGGCGCATGATTTATGACGACTATTAAATAGAACCAACATTTGTTTTGTTAACGACCCTCGGTCAATTAGGAATTAAATATGGTTCGGATATCTGAGAGCTTGTTCATTATTTCCCTTTTTCAACGAACAATATTTCAGCGATAAATTATTCTTACCATCTCTGATTTCAATTGTAAGCAAAATGTGAGTACATTATAGAGGATTTTTCGTTACACCGAAGCATTGGAAATCTGATTGAAATTGAGATGATTTATGGCATAAGGAAAATGATTCGTGAATCCCTTGAAAAAATGAACGAACAATTTAGAACGAATGAATGACGATGATGTTTGGAAATTAGTTCTTTTAGTATATGATACATTTAGATACTCATTATTTATACCATAGAAATTGAATTATAATAGAATATAAAGATATAGCCATTTCAGTGAAAGGACTGAAAATCCTATCGATAACAGGAATTATAAAAATAACGTAAACACACACACACACACACATACACACACGCACACAAAAAAAAGGAAAAGATATGTATAAAGGGACCTTGGTCACTTTAATTAAATATCCTATTTACAAAAAAAAAAAGAAAAAGCTGAAACAACCCACCTTATTTAACTTGAGAGAAAATTAAACGAAAGCACACTTTACATATTAAAAAAAGAAAAAAGCAGTGGATGTATGAGTTTCTCTTATCCTGCATAACGAGGTCAAGTGTACTCCTTAACAAACTAAATATTCCTGAAAAGAAATTTCTTTACACTTTCATATTCCTTATTTTTCTTTTTTTTTTTTTTCAAAAGGATAATATAATATTAAATACTATCCTATATAGTATATTAAATAAAATTCCTTTGCAACGTATTTCTTTTTCTCTGTCAAATTTCCATTTTACCTTCGTAATTCAGTCTGCAGCTACCACGTTTTAATACACGCGATTATTGCCCGGACGCTGTCCCGTGTCACACAACGTGACAAATTCTTTTTCGTCGGCAATTCGCGAGAACTTCCTAGCGGAAACGCAAAGCGCATTTCCGGTTCCATCATCGAGCGCGCTCCGACGAATTTCATTCACCGTGCAATTTCCACACGATCCGTGTATCCAACGATCGAAGCGACCGGGAAGTTCACACGCAAATCGTTGGCAAACGTCACGAAACATCTTTCATCAGTACCCGACATCCGCGCGCCGAAGCCAAAAGTTTTCCATTGAAATTAAAGGTTTTACGCAACGAACTGTCGGAAGTACGAAATTACAAGGCATTAAACCGTCTTCTCTTCGTCTCGATCGTCCCGATCGTTTATGCTAAATATTACTCGGATATGCATGAAACACCTGACATGCTATTAGATACAAGAAGCTTTGTAAGCGACAAATAGCAGGGTGTGTGGAATTGCAACGTGCGAGGTGCATCAAGTTCTATCCGTGAGTATGCGTTTATTCAGAAATACAGATATATAGATGTATATAAACCGCGGTGTTCATCTACTGAACGCTGACGTGTAAAGTGTTCGGATAGCTCGTCGCCGTGACACAACGTGCCGGGGGTAACTTCTCGCACGAGAATAGGTTAGTAGATTAATAGATTAATGGATTATAGCGTAGACGTAGACGCGTATCTCGTTTTATATTTGTAGTTTCTAGTTTCAAGTATTTTTCGATATTTTGGTCTTTTTTTTTTTTTTTCTTTTCTCCTACTACAGGCAATAATACACATCGAAAGTAATTGGAGAAACGTTCTTTTATCTATACATAGTGGAAACAATATTTTTAATAGTTTTATTAACGCAGAAAGAATATAACGTGAAATCATAACAAATAAATGTACGTAATTATAAATATAATTAAGCGAATCTGGAGGAAATTTAATTCAAGTTATATCGCGGATCTCCTCACTTTGAATAGGACTAATTTCAAGTAATACAAAGTAGTTTGTCCCGGATAAATTACACTTGGCTCTGAATCGATCTAACGAACAACAAATTCTCGATATCAATAACGTAACTCTTCAGTAACAATCGTCGTGGTCAACGAATATCGGATTGTATAATTTAAAGTTCTTGCGCAGAACTGCATTTTCCTCGCAAACTTTGTAGAAATTTACAATTACAACAGCACACGGTAAATATAAAAGCTTAAACTTCACTTTTCAAGCCCTATTATTAAAAACAGAAAATATTACAAATAGAAAATTATTATTATAAACAGAGAACGTTACAATTTACGCGAGGGGAACGTAAATTCATAAAAATAATATTTCCAGCATTGAAATTCGACCGCCTTTGTAAACCCTTGTTTTATTTATCCATTGAACTCAATGCTATTATAATTTACAGATCAAGACAACGTGTAGGTTATCGCGGGAAATTTCAAGTCGAGATCTGTTACGCAAGTCTAAATTTAACCTTTCAAACAGTTCAATTAAGTTAACTGTCCTGTCAAACAAAATTCTTCTTACGTTAAAATGAAATCATCTAGAAGTGCCGCAAGCAAACCAACGTCTTACAAATCGACCACAAAATCCATTGAATAACATCCTGCACGCCAGCGACTTCCACCTATTGATTTCTTTATTGAGAAAAAAAAAAAAAAAGAAAAAAGAAAAAGCAGAAAGTAAAGAGTAAAGAAAAAGGAGAAAAAAAGAAAAGAAGGAAGGAAAATGGCGAAATTAAGATATTCCCTTTCGACACATCGACCACACACGATATTTCAACCGCAGTCGTTGCTCGCCACGATTCATTCGCAAAAGAGAAACAGTCGGATAGATTCGTTCGTTTCACTTCGAGCGTGCGACCGTGCCAATTTCTGCCACGCCAGTCACGTATCGCGCCATTTTTCTTTTAATTCGATGGCGCAATTTCGCCGATGCGAGAGCGCATTTGGAAACGCAAGTTCGCAAAAACGACTTCCACCTACCACGATCAATCTATCTCCTGGCGTCGTTAATGCGTATCGAATGTCCTCATTTTCTGTATCATCGTCCAGTGTTGTTCCTTTTACCCGATATAAAAATACATATTCAATTGCCAACTACCGCCATCAACTTCCGCCTACCCCCTCGACGTTATCAAACGCGATTTATCCACGGACAATTTCTTCGATCGAATTTGTTGCCCACGGGCGTGTTCAATAATGGATTGAAAAAAAAAAAAGAAAACGAAATGTTACAACCAACTTCCGTCTACCTTCTCGATACTAATTAAACAGCGATCTATCGGCGAACGGATCGATCGAATACGGATCGTCTTTTGTCCATGGATGCAATTATATCTCGCAAAAATGGATTGGAAGAAGAAAAAATATATCAACCTTCCTTCTTCCGCCTGGCTTCTTGATAATTATTCAGGCTCAATCTGTCCGTAGACAGTTTCTTCGATCGAATTCTCTCTCTCTCTCTCTCTCTCTCTTTCTACTGGTGCAATTATACATTCCAGGGAGGCGGATCGAGAAAAAAGAAAAAAGAAAAGAAAAGAGAAAAACAAAAAGAAGAGGAACTACTCTGTAGACGCCGGCGTGTAAATGAAACGCACAGGCCGACGTTGCACACTGATACCGGAGTGGTAAGCATCGGTGGCACGCATGCTCGTTTACAGAACCGCAAATTCGTTTAAACGGGGCGAATCATTAAGCTCCGCGCAAGTAAGAACCAATCAGGTTTGGACATCGGATTTTCGCTCGGAACGTGTTCCCCGTGGTACGAATATACACGAAAAAAAACCAAAGCAAAAAAGAAAAAAAAAGAAAAAAAAAGAAAAGAAAGAGAAAAAGGGTGAAGCACGAGAGAAAGAAGAGAAAGATGGAGTAACCAGGCTGTGTGTCCCACGCACAAGAAACTAAGAGGCGGCGCAAGAGGGGAAGAAGGATGCAGAGAATGAAACAGCATATCGAGGAGGCAGGCCTCGGTGTTCTTATTTGAAAATTAATTTACCAAGAGATAGAACGACCAGTTTTTCAGCGGACGATTTTGCTACATCCTTGCGCCCCAGCAACTAAGACGTCCGTCGATTTTTCTCGTTTGTGCGCCCGGTACATCTTTTTTCACCCGTGTCCAACGCGTGTGATAATTGCTTCCCGTAGACCGCTTCGTAGAAAATGTGCCACGAGTTCTATTATTCCGCGTAATGCAACACACCTTGCACGATCGCGCGATTTGACACGCAATCGCACACTCTTCGCGAGAACGAAACAGTGCTCGCGGCACCTGCTTACTCAAAAAGTTCGTACGTTTCTATCGAAACGAGCGAAGTACGAAATCAATTCTCAATGTTACCGCTCAAGATCCTCTGTCGAAACTGATCTTTTGTTTCAGTTTCGACCAAGTGTGCGGTTAGAATTAGAATTCGTCGACGTAGCATTGATCGAATGAAAATTGCGCGGCGAGATCGGTAGATTCGCACGGCAAAAATTCGTACGGATCGCGTGAAGCACGCGAACTCTTACTCCGCGGAACACTTCGTCGAATCCCTCTTTCACATCTCTGTTCTTCAAACAATCGATAGAATTGGTAAAAACTGAAATCGTCCAGTTGCACCCAGTCATGCAATCAATCTCAAATTCAGCGTAATTTAAAGCTGTCAGTGAAATAATTGAATAGTTTGTTCCTTCTATTCCGTTTCCCTTGTCGGAGGATTCGAGATTACTGGAATTGGAACAAAATTATTACCTATCCTCACAAGAGTTGCAATCCAAACTTCCGATTTGCTGGAGCTTAAGCAAACAGGTATGATCGTTACGAATCTTCTAACACGTTCTTGTCGCCATATGTTCTCTTTCGATGGACACCGTAACCCGTATTAGCCTTCCTCGAATACGTGCGAGCTCAATTATCGCGCGAAGCGAGGTTAGCACGATGATCGAAGGAATCTGTTTCGAGATTACGTGCCGTGGCGAACGTTAAATGATACTATCCTTCGCGAATAAAATCGTGTCGTCGTATATATTGTATATATCGAGACAAAGAACAGTGATCGTCGATGCTTGTCATCCGTCGCGAACGGAACGAAAGCACGTTTAATTGGAAAGGAGAGAAACGGCGAGTCGAAGAGGCAAAAGAACGAGAAACTTCAATGTAGCCGGAGGAGAGCTTGGTTGGTCGTAGATTGGCAGGTTTCACAGCACACGACGTTACTTGATCGTCGAAAATGACTGTCGAACGATCTCGTTCACGGACGACTGAGCATCGGCAACCGGTCGGTGACCATCGTCTCTCATAATTGTACGAACGAGCTCCAACGTGCGTTCCTCGTTTCGAGTCTGTACAACGTGTTGTTATTCTGGACCGAGAGAGAGAGAGAGAGAGAGAGAGAGAGAGAGAAAAAGGGGGTGAAATATTCATCGAAAGGAACAAATTGAAAGATAAAAGATAAAAACGGAAAGAGAAAACGGAACACAGGAGGTGAGAAAAGGATCGACGAGTCGAAGGACATGCAAGGACGAAGGACGCCCGAGGTGTTCATTGTCCGTGAACCCTGGCATCCCACGATCCGCTCACAAAACCTTCATGACTTTCTTGCTCTCTCGGTCAACGTGAAAGGAAAAAGGAAAGAAAAGGAAAACAATGACGGAAAGGAACCCGCGGAACACAACACGTATTCTCTTTTTCTCGTTCGTTCTTTTTCTCTCGCTCTATGGATTTTGCTTGCGGTTGGATCCCTTTTGTGTTCGAAACACGAGGCTCGAATCGCAACGCTGTTGTCCGAACAGCGCCAAGGGACCATGGAGCATCGATTGTCTCCGTCGATCGTTCGTGAACGATACGCATCCTCCTTTATCAGTCGGTGTGGCTTTCGTACTTGTTTCTTTCCTTCGGTGTGTCGAAACGGTAAGAAAATTTAATCATTTCGAAGCGATTTACATTATGTTGACGACTTGTGAATTTGTGAAAATTTTGACTTGTGATTTCGTTGCAGCTATCAGAGATACAGACGACTCAGAAACTAATCAACGTGTTACTTGTACCATGTAATCGTTGACAAAACACAGTTCAGTCGTTATTATACGATCGTTATAACATAATTCTCACTATTATAATAACTAAACTGTTCCATCGACTAATAGCTTTTTCAACACACCAAGCAGGAACTTGCGTTTCCACCCCCAACGATAGAGAATAGCTCCTCAAAGACCTAGTATGAAAAAAATTTATCTTCAATACAAGAAACGCTAAAATTATTTTACTTCTGGAATAGAAAAAAAAAATCTTATTTTACATTAGTAAAAAAAAAAAAAACGATGAAAAAGTTCAAAAAACGAAGTAAATATTAATATTAAATATGCCGGCGTGTTGATAACAAAAGCATACTTGCGATACTCGTGATACAAGTTGTCTTTGATGAGAAGTGACTTACGTTGATTGATTTCTGAGCTCTTCGTGTAACAGTGACATTTTCCACAAGCGTTCTATAAGTGTCAAGAGATTTTCGATCGGACGAAGCATTCGGACTTCTATTTTTCTAGATCGACGAATCGAAAGTGTTGCATTCGCCCCTGACATACTTGCCCGCTAAATCGACGTTACGTAAATGCGTCTGATAATTACAACACAGATTATCTCGATTGATCGGTGAATTTTAGTCGTTCGATGATGCAACATCTGAGCGGTCCGACTGATGGGAGAATGCTCATGGAACAGAGAACGTTCTCCGTGCTCGTTGCTTCCCTCCTTAAAAAAGATTCCCTACGCAACACGCTTCTTTTTCTTCTTCTTCTTACTCTTCTTTTCCCTCCTCGCCATAGTCATTTCTCTTTGGGTTCGACCTGTTCTTCCAGACGTTTTACTTCACTGACTGGTTGGTAATCGATCTGAAATCAGAAAAAAAGATTCAACCGGAGTTAGCGATGTGTTACGTTTCAGCGCACCGGTTCGCCCGTGAATCGCCAAAGTGGAGGAACATTCTATGCTCGCCTTCGGTAAGCCATATCTGAATCGATCCTTCTAAGCTGTTGCTAATAGTTGGACGTGCAATATGATGGACGTTTCATCTCAATCAACTTATATTATTATAAATACCACCAACTAAATTAAAAAATTTAAACGCAAATATATATTTGACCTGTTAAAAATTACAACGAGTATTCTAGTTTGGACACGGCAATGAATTCTACCATTTAAATATACCATTGCTTGCATTAACGTTGCAAACAATCTCTATTTGAAACGCGGCATCTGAATCTAATTCAGTAATCGGGAAGGTCAGAAAATAAACATTTCATCGATAATACAAGTATGTATTGTATAAGATTTGATAATTACACACACGCTAATTTTATCGTTGCACATTGGCCTTTAAAAATTAAATCATGATTTGAAATGTTTTTAATTTAAATGCGTCTTGATGAAAATAACAAGAATATTCTTTATTTTATAGAAATATCTTAATATCTATCTTTAATGAACTATTTAATGATTATTCGCGATCAAAAAAATTGTTCGTAGAAACATTAGTAGGGTATCTTTGTATGTTGATACATTCTAAGGAGAAAACTGAAAGATTTGGTTTTCTAATTATTAAAGGTAACTCACTGTTTTTTAATTATTAAATAGTGACAATAAAAATCTAACTGCTTGTGGAAGATTTAACAGAAATAAAACATAGCTAGAGATTGTCCTAGTCAATTAGCATACCATGGTATTATATCGATAACATAAATATTAATATGCAGAGAAATTATTATTAACATAGAATTATATGACATTAAATGAAACATGCAGACTTTCCACTAACGAAAATTCCATAAATTTTATAAACGTCCGAAATATTAATGATCTATCCATTTGATTTGTTTTTATGAATTTGTATTTTAGAACGGATTCAATTATTTCGTGATTACTTTTAATTTTTTCATTCTATAAATTAATACTGACTTAATAATAATAACTTTATTACGATGTTGTAAATAATGAATAATTATCTAACACGTTCGTTCAGTATTGATTAGATAGAAAGGGAGAAGGCAAGGAGTGAAAGTTGATTTCACAGTTAAAGTACATTCTTAAAATAACATTTTAAGTAGATTCGTAAAATAACATTTTATGGAGTTAAGATCATACGCGTACTTGCCAACGTTACAGTAAAAATCTCGTCAAATAATATACGATCAAATAAAATCTTTTTCACTCAAAATCCTTATGCTCCGAAGGAAGAAAAATTTGTTACAGCCATATCATAGTAATTTGATGGTGAATTGCCCGTAACGAGGACGAATGGAAGATAATCAAAGAACAATTAAACAAATCTACATGTAATTGACGCACGAATTCGCAAGTATCATCGGCCAAATACGCGGCCATTAAACGTCGTCTGCAGGATCAGAAAGCAGCGATAATGGCGTCTGCTGACCGAACGAAAGGTAGCAGAACGCGCTCCGTTCCTAAGGACCCCTTAAGCGCGTCCAAAACAGGGTACGAAATGAATTCGAAATTAAGTTTAACGAGCAGCGATGCCGTGGTCTTATCCAGCGGATATTAAATTCACCGGCGAGACATTTCTTATGCGAAAACTTTGCACGGCGAACACAGGGCGGAAACCTACCACGAAACATGACTTTCAAAGAGTCGACTGGTCGACGAGCGCACGGCCGCAACCCACGGACAAGACAGAGACGAAACAAAGAGAGGGAGCAGAAAGAGAGGAGAGGAAGAACGGACCCGACAAGAAGAGGGCAGGGAAGAAAAAGGGAGAAAAGAGTGGAACGCTGAAACGACAACGAAAGGGACGTGGTTCGTCCTGACGAGGAAAGAGGAAGAAAACGAAGGTAAAGAAAGGCGAGGAGAAAGAGAAGATGAACGCCGGCGAAAGAGAAAGAACCGATGGAAGAGAGAGAGAGAGAGAGAGAGAGAGAGAGAGAGAGAGAGAGAAGGAGAAACGAAGGTACCGGGGGAAGGCTATATTATGCTTGCTAAAGCAATGTTACCAACTCGAGAACTGGCGAACTAGCCGACAGTAAAATCCATTTTATGTCTCCCTCGTAAAGCCAGTCAAATGAAACCAGGACTTAGTTTTCATACGTGCACCCGCCACCCACCCATTCACCCACCCGGCCAGAGACCAGACCTGGTTTCCTGTTCCGTTCTACACACCGAGTCCGAGAGGGAGGATCGTGGCTGACTTTTTCGGTAGTCTAGACACGCTGGTTCCTCCTCAACGTGTATGACACATCGCGTCGATTCGACGGTATTGGCCGTCTTTCCGGATGATTTCGTTTCTTTGAGATTTCTCCCATCGAGACCATTTACCGGTGTATACGTGACAAATGTGATGAACAACACGGAGGGGTAACAATGAGATCCAGGCGGCTGGCTGGATCTCAAGAATTAAGAAACTCATTCAGGGTGGCTTTTTTTTGAGAATATTTGTTCTGGTAAATGATACGAAAATTTCAATTACAAGCCTGTGAAAAGCTGCACTTTTACAAAAAAAAAGTTTGGCAAACTGTATGAAACTACTGTTAATTTACTTTTTATTGGAACAATCGCTGCAGAATAGCAGAATTCAGGGTAACCGTGAGACCTAGCGATGGTAAAATAATTTATGAAAGAATATGTATCTAAACGAATCTAATGTTAAATTTTCTCCAAAATGTTTTTAAGATGATTTATCAATTAATATCAGTCTGAAATATATTCTAAAATATTCCACAAAAATTACTAGATAATAACTAGACTATATTATATTATATATAATTACTGCAGATTTTACGCATTTAACGAAATTTAACGTTTCGAAAATCCGCAGAGTGCAATCAAAAACAACATAAAATAATTATAAAATAACAAAAAGAAATCATGCGTTACAATTATCATCAATATTTCTGTCACAAACTATATTAGAACCCCGACAAGGACGCATACATATTCGCGAAAATTCGAGTATACGGCGAACGAATAGGCTAAAAAACGAAAGACAGAGAATCCTAGCGAAACGGAATCTCACTTGGCACTAAAACTTGGCCGCGTCGTAAAACGAGTCTCGTCGACGTATAACGTACGCTTGGGAAAGCATCGCAGCGATAAAGACCACCCTCTATTGGATGGATAGACGGTTTCAAGGATTTTCGTCGACGTTTTTCTTGTCCCACTTTCCTTTTGCCTTTAAAGAGTCGTTTTTAATCGTCGTCCCTGTCCGTCCCGATAATAATCGAACCGTGGCCAAACGCGGCCTTTAAAACCGATCCGTGATCGAGCATAAAAACGCCGAAAATGAATATGCGAAGCGCAAGATACGCGTTAACTACCTTCTTTCGTTGAATGATTCTCAGGATCCTTCTCGGAACTTCCTGACACCAGAAAGAAAACGTGCCGCTTTTTTTGAAGAAGTGGGCTGGCCGCTGTGCCTCGTAAAAATCTCAAAATCTGGTGTATAAGGTGTTTACCCCTTATTTAACTCGTTCCCCGCGTATGTGTTTCGGCGTTATGATTGGCACAGCGATTAGCGGTTATGCAGGTTATATTTTCATCGTAAGTCATATGCATATATTATTCATTTCGAACGTTGTTTGAAACTACGACATTGTAGTTTATAACTTGTAATTTAAGTGATGATTGCTACTTACGATGCATCTCGTTCTGATAGGAGAATTTTAAAATAATATTTAACGGATAGTGAAATTTATAATTAACAGTCGATAGGGAAACTTGCGAGGAAAGCAATGGTAATAAAAAAATAAAAATGAACAAAATTTGAATTTCTTTAAAATATCATCGATTATATAATGGAGAAAATCGTTCTTTCCCTTTTTCAACGAATCCTCGACGTTCGACTTCTTCGCGAGCATCAATCGACACAAGCATTTGCACACATATTGCCCTCTTTCTATGTACACCGGCGAAGAAGCACGACACACAATCTCGTTAGTATTAAATACTGTGTCGTTCTTTTTAAACAACGCCTTTAACGACACGTCGTTAAAGGAAAATAAATTATATAGCTCTTTCTTCGCAGAACGCGTGCCTTAATAAAACTGCTTCAGAAAACATGAAGAGTAAAAAAAAAGAAGGGGCGGAACGGGCAAGAAAGGAAAGGGGGAAAACAAGAGGAAAGAGCAAAGAAGGGATGAAAGAAAAAGTGAGACTAAAAGTCTTGAAAGAAAATCGATTATAGTATCTCCAGTGTGTTTCATCGCTGTGTAGAGAAGAGAAAAGGGGGTGAAAACGAAACAGAAGGAGGGTTTCGCGTATCTCGTTGCACTGGAAAGTCATAAAAACGAATCGTAAAGCCACGGGACAAGTCTGTGGGTTAAAAACGAGACCGCGTGTTGAACGTACGTGGTGTGCAAAATTAATTCGGCGTCCTTTTTAAATGAAACTCGAATTTCAATTATAGATTATTTAAACAGCTTCTATAACTTCAAAGCCAGAATAGAATAAACGTGGGCTACTTTTATGTTCAAACAGCGAACGAATGCGTAAATCTTGTGTCATTAATTATAAATATAACTTATGAATGATATGAATATCAATCAGATAATTTTTGGTTTCGTCCAAAATTGACAGGGTGGTCAAAAGTTTCGATAGGTTATAGGTCTATAGTATATAGTATATAGCATACAATATATAGTATATAGGTCTATAGACTTGTCAAATATTTTTATGAGCCAATGTACGCACGTATGTATAAATAACATTTCACCATTCGTGTGAAACGATTTTAGAAAATTAGAAACAAGCGCTTTCGTTTGCTTCCTTTGACAAGACTTACAGATCAATTTTGTGAATCACCGTATCGCCAAAGTTCCACAATCATCCGAAGGGAATACGTCCCTGAAGAAGTAAGAACGTTCGCCCTCGAAGTGTTAAATAATTG